TTCCCATTTTACAGTTGATGAAGCTGAGGCTCAGAGGGCAACTTAACCTAAGGCTACACAAAGAGTGAAGTGGCTGAGCCTTTGGTCTTAAGTCTGTGTGACCCCACCCACCCCCAAACCCATGAGCTAACTGCCCTGCTACACTCGATTCTTTCCTGAGTCAGTCTCATGGTGTTGCAAGTTCAAGGGCAAACACGCCTGTGGCCCAGCACAGAGCAGAGGAACCTGATTTAGCTCCACTGTAAGGAGTGTTGCATTTGGGGACACCCCAGGACAGGCTAGATGGTTTGGTTGGGGACTTTATGTTTTGGTTCCCAGCCTTTTGTGTTCCTGATTTCTAGAAGGTCCCTAGGAGGAGCCTATCTAATTTGCAAACAGGGTCTGTCTGACTTACTTCCTAGAACACGGGAAGCTTTTCTTACCTCTTCCCTGCCCCTTTCTATACCCGAACCCGCAGGTTCGGTTCCTCTCCTCAAAGTCTTTTGCACTATAAGCACCCAGGAGCCCATGTGTGTGTGGTGGGGATGGCTGTGGAGGTGTCTGGGACCTCAGTGAGGCCTCTGGCTCAGCTGGAGAGGCAATAAACTTGGGGACATTCCATTCTGGGTTCTAACCTTGCTGGTTTGCTGGTTCGTTGTGTGCTCTTTTGTAAGAGGAATTTCGTACCTTGGAGATGCTTTGTACATATTTGTAATGACTTTATTAAAAAACTGGTTTGTGTGCTTCCAGCCATGGGCTTTTCTGTTTTCATTTCCTTCTGGAAGGTTGGTCCCCAGAGACTACATGAGGACCTGGCTGCACACCCCAGCCTTCCTTGGGGCAGAAGGCCACGTACTCACCTTCCTCCTCCGTTGTATTCCGGAGAGCTCCCCAGGGGAAGGGCTGGCTTACAAGAAAGTACCCATTGGTTGGTCAAGAAGCTGGGAGAATCTGCCCAGCATTTCAAGGTCAGTGCACAAACCTATCATTTATGCATAGGACTAGGTAAATAAGCTAATGAGCCTGCAGACTGGTGTCTCCAACTATGGGCAAAGGGGCCACTCTGGGCGGGGTTCTTTCACCGGCACTCACCTGGTCTGACATGGACCCTGAGAGCAAGTTTGAGGCTCTTCCTAAGAATGGCAGGTTAAGGAAAGGTGGTTTTTCTGGATAACAGACCCTTTCTTTTACCTTGGGGACCCATGCCTTCCCCACCGTCAGTCCATGTGAGTTGGGTGGACTCCACCCTCCCATCTTCATTGATTTTGATTAGCTTCACTGCAGAGCGTCTGTGAAAAGAGAGAGAGAGGGAGGGAGGCTTTGAAATAAATTTTAAAGAAGACCTCATATCGGGTTTCAGCAGACAGCAGAGAGAGAGAGAGAGAGAGAGAGAGAGAGAGAGAGTGTGTGTGTGTGTGTGTGTGTGTGTGTGTGTCCGTGCAAAGCAGAGGGAGGCCTCTGAGATCATCGTTTAGGTAGCTTGCTACATAATGAAATGAGGAGCAAACCAAAGGGCCTCCTTTCTGATGGTGCTGGTTGCTCTCAGAGGGTGAGGGTTCAGAAGCTGCAGGGATTGGAGCCTCCCGGGACTTCAACATTCCCATTTCAAATTAGATCCATTCCCTTCTGGAAGCTTCTCTCCCCTACCCCATCTCCCAGAAGCAAATAAGATCTCTTTTTCCCTTTTCAGATTGGGGGTTCCATTTCACCTTCCTTTTGGCACTGATGGAGCTGGAGTAACAGGTTTCCTTGGGGGAGGCCCGCTGGCTGTGCTGGCTGCTGTCCATGGTCTAGGCCATGAGGGTCTCTTAGAACCCAATTCCTGTTTGTTTCTTCTTTCACTGGGATACTGGAAACTTCTTTTCCACTTCTTCCAGTGGTCTCGTTTTTTGATTCTTTCTATTTTGATGGGAAAATGGTGATTTATACACTACTGTCACAAAACAATGGTGCCAGACTTTGGTTTCATTTTTCTGACAGTGACAAAATATCACTTTCCCTTGCCAGGAACCTGTAGGAGCCCTGCCTGGATCCTGCACGACTTTGCCATGGTGGACTTTTTGAGTGCCCTTCTGGTATTAGAAGCTGCAGTGACAGCACATGGCTTTTGTTCTTCTGTGTTGATATCAACTCCTTTTCTGAATGTTCCTTAAGTTAATCTGGGGCAATCAGAGAGTCAGAAGCTGGTTGGGGGGTTAGAGGGGACAGGCTAGACACCTGTCCTAGTCCATGGTTGCTGGTGGAGGAAGTTGATGTCAAAAGTATCATTTAAAGCTTAAACCAAAAGTTTATTTTTAAATTTTCAATTAATTCATTCAATACCTATTTGTTGAGCACCTGGGGAGAGACTTTACATATTGATTATGGACAGGCAGCTCTGCTTGGAACCAGACAATGCTAAATGTACCTTTCCAGACTGGTTCCTGGTCTTTAGCAGATTTGTCCGTTCAGCAGTGTGACCCCAGGCCTCGCTGGCAGATTGTCCTGTGGTATTTATTTTTACTGAACGCACACTATCATGAAGGTGATTAAAAAGCCTGCAATCTCAACTCATCCCCACACAAAAAGACTGGTTCTCACTGTTTCACAGTCACAAAAGCCATCATTTATGGATTGCTCAGCCCTCCTGAGCACTGTGCATGTTTTCTGCTCAGTTATTCCTCAGCACCCACTCTGGGAGACAGTCCTGTTATTATTCCCATTTTACAGTTGATGAAGCTGAGGCTCAGAGGGCAACTTAACCTAAGGCTACACAAAGAGTGAAGTGGCTGAGCCTTTGGTCTTAAGTCTGTGTGACCCCACCCACCCCCAAACCCATGAGCTAACTGCCCTGCTACACTCGATTCTTTCCTGAGTCAGTCTCATGGTGTTGCAAGTTCAAGGGCAAACACGCCTGTGGCCCAGCACAGAGCAGAGGAACCTGATTTAGCTCCACTGTAAGGAGTGTTGCATTTGGGGACACCCCAGGACAGGCTAGATGGTTTGGTTGGGGACTTTATGTTTTGGTTCCCAGCCTTTTGTGTTCCTGATTTCTAGAAGGTCCCTAGGAGGAGCCTATCTAATTTGCAAACAGGGTCTGTCTGACTTACTTCCTAGAACACGGGAAGCTTTTCTTACCTCTTCCCTGCCCCTTTCTATACCCGAACCCGCAGGTTCGGTTCCTCTCCTCAAAGTCTTTTGCACTATAAGCACCCAGGAGCCCATGTGTGTGTGGTGGGGATGGCTGTGGAGGTGTCTGGGACCTCAGTGAGGCCTCTGGCTCAGCTGGAGAGGCAATAAACTTGGGGACATTCCATTCTGGGTTCTAACCTTGCTGGTTTGCTGGTTCGTTGTGTGCTCTTTTGTAAGAGGAATTTCGTACCTTGGAGATGCTTTGTACATATTTGTAATGACTTTATTAAAAAACTGGTTTGTGTGCTTCCAGCCATGGGCTTTTGTGTTTTCATTTCCTTCTGGAAGGTTGGTCCCCAGAGACTACATGAGGACCTGGCTGCACACCCCAGCCTTCCTTGGGGCAGAAGGCCACGTACTCACCTTCCTCCTCCGTTGTATTCCGGAGAGCTCCCCAGGGGAAGGGCTGGCTTACAAGAAAGTACCCATTGGTTGGTCAAGAAGCTGGGAGAATCTGCCCAGCATTTCAAGGTCAGTGCACAAACCTATCATTTATGCATAGGACTAGGTAAATAAGCTAATGAGCCTGCAGACTGGTGTCTCCAACTATGGGCAAAGGGGCCACTCTGGGCGGGGTTCTTTCACCGGCACTCACCTGGTCTGACATGGACCCTGAGAGCAAGTTTGAGGCTCTTCCTAAGAATGGCAGGTTAAGGAAAGGTGGTTTTTCTGGATAACAGACCCTTTCTTTTACCTTGGGGACCCATGCCTTCCCCACCGTCAGTCCATGTGAGTTGGGTGGACTCCACCCTCCCATCTCCCTCTGTCCCCGCCACCAAGGCTCAACCCCAACTCAGGCCTGGCTAATATTCTGAGTCCCAAAGACTGAAGTGATTGGTTTGGAGGCAAACCAACGGAGCCGACAGCCTCACGACTCCTGCTGGAGTTTTGGGGAAGTGCTCGGCTGGGATTGTGAAGCTGGGAGGACATAAGCACAGGGCTTCTGGAGGCCATTTTACCACCACATGGGATCTAACTGCCTGAAAAATCAGCATTTCAGAGGAAGACAGATTTGAGGGATGGACAGATATGATTCTAGTATCATCCCCAGAACCCCTGAATCCAGCTGTCCCTGAAGCCTGTACTACTACATGGACTAAATAATGTCCTTCTTTTATTTAAGCCAGATTTGAGTTGGTTTTTAAATAACTGTTATAAAAACCTTCTGCCTGATGTTTTTGTAGCTGGCTTCATCACATTGCCCTGAGGGTCATGAATTGTCACATATGCTACTAATTTACATTTTAAATATCCATCCTAACCTGGCACCCAGGAGAACCTCCTGGAAGTGGCTCATACACTCTGGGTCCGTCCTACAGTTACCTGCTGTAGTGGGCTCCATACTGGGGTCCCAGCCAGATCTCTTTTGATCCTTCCTACCAGTTGTGTCCCATCCTACATCTCTGTGTGCTTTGTGGCACTTGACATCTTCAGAGGCTTGGGGCCTCCTCAGCAAAGAACCTGAGTGTCTGAGAGTCTCCCCAGACCAACCCACAGCCAAGGACTGATGGTGGGGGGTCCAAAAACTCAGGGCGGGACAAACTCTGAGATGCAACTGATGCTCAGAGCTCCCCAACGAACCAGGTTTGAGCTGGGACTTCTCTGAAAGTCACCCCCTTGTTTCTTCCCCTTCCCTCTCCTGTTTCACCCATTCCCCTTTTGGATTTCCCCTGGGAATGCTTCCGTAAAAAGTCACATGAAATCCAACAGCATCTGCTTTGGGGGAAAACTAACATCGGATAACCACCCACTGCACGGAGCATGTCTTTGCATCTCTCCTAAAACAGGTCCTCCTGGCTTCATGAAGCAAAGGGAGACTCAAGACCACGAACATAAATTTTGTCATTAGATGACATTTATTGGCAGAAGGGAACTTAGGGAACATTAAAAACACCAAAGGTGGCTCTGCATAGCCCAGAGCAAAAGTCCTAAAAGATTCCAAGACTTACTTTACATTTCCTCTTTGCAAATCCAGATCCGAGCAGCCTGGATGACTCCCGATGTCTCTCACATTCTCCCCTTAGGAAGGTTACATCCAGGTCCAAAGCTCGCCTTTTTATTCTCTCACATTTATGCTCAAACTCTTTTACATTAAGAGCTCCATTTCTAAGGACTTCATGGAATTTTCAGTCAGAGAATCATAAGATATCAAGAGTAGGATACTCGACTGATCCCCTGTGAAAAGAGCTGCAGAGCCCAGGTGGCTAAAGGAGAATGGCAGCGTTCTTCCTTTCCAATGGTGACTCTCGGCTGCTTTTACACTCGTGTTAGGGAACACATGTAGACTGATGTTTGCAAAATTCTGCACTGACCACTGTTCCTCCTTAGAGTAGAAGTTAAATCTTCCCACCCAAAAGAAAACCTCCGGTGGGACTTTCTCTCAGAGAGAATGAATAGATAAAATCTTAAACTAAAATCATGCTGCCTGCCCCTAAGTATCCCTCACATGTGATGTTTTTTATAGTGTTAGAGGCAGGGCTCACTAGAAATGTTAGAGAAATTTTACTTTTGACAGCATGAGTGCAATTGACAAAATGAATGGCATGTTCACCAGTCATCTACATTGTTAGCTTCCCTGGTTCCAGTAGATAATATACTAGGTTTTGTCACTGTGGAGATGGCTACAGGGAGGTGAAGTGACTTCCCAAAGTCATGCAGAGTTTGGAATCAGAATTCCGGGCTTGACTCTCAACAGACTGCTCTGTCTGCCCTGTGACACGTGGCTCTGTAGTGAGTCTTCTCCAGCTCCAATTTCTCATGCCTCTTTGATGGCATCTGCGGACAGGGTGATCTTTCTGATAAAAACCAGTTGCAGAAATTCCTGTTGCTTCCCTTTGGTTCTTCCTCAAAGCGAGGGGAATAGAGCAACTGCATCCACCTGGCCTCATTTCCCTCCATGTCCCCTTCCAACTTGATTCGACTATTCAGGCAAAGGGGATTCGAACATTGTGGCCATTGCCATAGTAACAGAGCTTGAAAGGTGCCATGCTGCCCTGGAAGGCAGGTCTTGTTGGGTACCAGGAAAGAGCTCAGGAAGTCAGGCAAAGGAAAAGGTCCTGGCTTGACAGCACACAGGGGCAAATGCCCTGAAGCTACTGGGGATGGAGCAGGCATGTTAACAGTGGCTAAGAGCGAGGTGGCAGCAAGGCCCCCATGGAGTCTCCGGGGGCTGTTGTGCTAGTCTGCTCACTAGCCGCAAAGATGGCTTTCCCTGAAATGCATTGGTGCTAGCCTGTTGTGCTGAGGTTGACAATAAGAACAGACCTAGGAGAGGGGTAGGGCAGGCAAGATTCCAGCGGCTTCTAAGTGGTCACCTGTGCCATCTACTCCCAGATTTCCAAGCAGGGAGGGTCTCACAGGTAGAGAGGCTGTTCTGCTAGACATTCACAGCTCTGGTATAGAGACTACAGAAACGCTGATTGCTACTGCGCTCTAGGCCACCACCGCAGCTTGTGGAAAAATCCACAACGTGGATTGTCCCCTTTGATCTGAAGGCCACCGGGGAAGAAGGCGATGTTCAGAGAAGCCATTAACAAGCTGAGACCTAAGTGAGGGAGAGGACTAGAACAGAAGGCGAAGGAGAGAACTAAAGATGGGTGTGGGGACCCAGTGATTTCTGCATCTGGACCAAAGCTGGCCTTTCTTGGTACCCAAATGTGACTGAGCACCCCAGACGGAGCCCAGCAAAACAGCAATTTTGAGGACCAAGTCTTTCTGTGGACCTAGCCACAACTAGATTTCTAGAGTTTGTGTTCACTGTTAGCATTGTCCAGGCAGTCCAAACTAAGCATGCTTTGCATGTGGGCCACTGAGGGGCATCAAAATCACCTCTTGTGCTTTTAGAGAACCATGTCTGTGGGCCCATGCCTGCACTGTAGGAGCAGGGGGCAGCATGGTAAGAGCATGGGTTCTGAAGCCAGAGAGGCCATGGTTGGAAACTCGGTCCACCACTGCTAGCTGCGTGACCCTGGAAGAGTAACCACATGGAGTTCTGTGCTGCAGTTTCCTCATCTGCAACATGTAGGAAATGACAGTATCTCCACCAGGTAGGGCTGCCGTGAGGATCCCAGGAGGTCATCTCAGCAGGATATTCAATGCCGTGTCTGGCTCACACTAAGTGGTAGACAGCTATTGCAGGTATAAGGTGGGGCCCAGCATTTGTACTTGGGAAATACTTCACAGTGATTCTAACCTGCAGCCCTGGGCCGTGTTGGGGGAGGCAGTGATCTCAAGGCCCCATCCCAGGCTGCAGCACAGGGTTCCAGGTCACCATGAGTTACAGTCACAACAGTGGGCCTTGGCTATTACTGATCCCTTAACTTGGGGTGGCGGAAGACCTACCTGGGCGGAGACCAAGTTTGGGTTGGAGGCTTCCCCGTGTGTCAGGGAAGGATGCACACACCATGCCACAGAAAAGAGGAGAGTGAAGGTGGGGAGGATGGGGCTTGGCTTTGGGGGAAGATGTGGAGAAAGGCAGGAGGCCTGCTTCCAGGAAGTCCCCAAAGCTGGACCCAGTATATCAGTTCCCTGGCTGTGCCTGGGAGCTTCGAGTCCTCATTCTTTAGCCCTAATAGACCTGGAAGTGTGCCGACGTGGCCCCATCCTTCCAGCTGCGCAGGGTGTCCACAGCAACTGCACGGCAGAGGGGACAGGTGCGCTCCCGATCCAGCCAGAGGCAGAGGCACTCCTCACAGAACACGTGCTGTGGGGGACAGCAATCAGTATGACTGGGGACACTTGATCGAGCGCCTCCTGCATGCCTGCCTTGGTCCTGGGAGCAGGGACAGAGCAGCAAACAAAATAGACACTTTCTGCCCTCAAGGAGCTTGCACTCTAGTTGGGGAGACAAAATGAATCTCAAAATGCAGAGTATGTCTGTGGCAAATGCTAAGATGAGAAACAGGGGAGGAGGCACAGGGAGCGGCCAGGAGCACTGTGATGTTAAACAGGGTGACCAGGCCACTCCACTGACATACTGATGTTTTTTGGGCAAGACTTGAGGGAGGGTGAAGACTTAGCCCTGATAATATTTGGGAAAAGAGTGTTCCATGCAGAGGGAACATCATGTGCAAAGGCTCTGAGGCAGGAGTGTATCTGTTGTGCTGGAGCAACAGCAAGGAGAGGGTGGCTGAGCTGGGGGTGGTAGCTGAGAGGAGATGAGGTCAGAATCAATGTCGGGGGTGTAAGGATTGTTAGGTGACCTCTAGAATCAGAGGCTCTGGATTGGAATCATGGCTCTGCTACCAAGGAGTGGCACAGTCTCAGGCAAGTCCACCCTTTCACCTTGCTGAACCCATCCCCTCTATAGAACAGGGTCACTAATTCCCTCACAAGGTGTCTGTGAGAACGGAAATAGATAAGACCCATAAAGCATCAAGTGAGAGGCTTCTGGAAACACAAAATCACTAGGAGTCACCATTCTCTTGACCTCTTTCCTTTATATCATCAACACTAAAAGCAAGAACTCATGACCAAGAACTGCAGGGCAGTTTTCTAATCACACTCTAACCCTTCTCTCTGGCAAGAAGTCCTTTAGGTAAGTTTCTGACCTTGTGTTCAAAATGCCCTTTCCCCAACCCCTGCAGCCTGGCAGGAGGCATGCCATAAATACTTGCTAAACGACTAACTTGGCAAGTGTGCTCTGAGAAGAGACGTCTAACCTCGGAGCACACTCAGAGTTGGCTTCACTTGCTCCATTGACAAACTGCTTTCCAGGCTCTGGTTCTGGGGAGTGGGGTGGAGGTGGGGGTGAGTGACACACTGAGCTTAGTTGGATGACCTTTGAAGGGGAGATAGAATGTTCTTGAGCCTCGGTGTGCTCTTTGTCCATCCATTCATGCATCTGTCCTGTTCATCTATCCATTGATCCGTCCATCTATGCAATTATCCATCCATTGCCCCACCTACCCACCTATTCACCCACCCATCTGTCCATCCATTTGCCCATCCACCTAGTTACCCCTACACTTGTCCCTCTATCCACCCACCTTTGCACTCATTCACCCATCCCTCCATCTGGCCACTATCCATCTCATCCCAACCATCTATCCATCTTTCCATACAACCCACCAACCACCCATCCATCCCGTCCACCCCTCATCTCATCCATCCCTCATTCCATTCATCCATCCCATCCCATCCCATCTGTCTACCCCCCTCCCCTTCCCTCCTCCCTCCCTCCCTCCTTCCCTTCCTTCCTTCCTTCCCATCTCATCTACCCATACACCCCCTCCCATCTATCCATTCATCCATCCCATCGATCCATCTATTCCATCCATCCATCCAATATTTACCAAGTCAGTCCTATGACTCTGCTGCTAAAGAAGACAGACATCATCATCACTCTCAAGTTGCTTATAATTTGGCAAAAAGGAGACAGACCTTACACAACTAGTTGCCCAATTAACTAGCTGCCAACTGGGATACGTGCTAGGACGGAAGAACACAGGGATCTGTGAGACCACAGAGCTGGCTCATCTGGGGAAGCAGGGGCAGAGAAGCCTTTACTGAGGAAGAAACACTTGACTTATCCATTCATTTGCTCATTCATTCGTTACGTTAGGAATTAATGAGGCCATTCCACTTGTGGAAGTCATCTCTGCCATTCCAAGCCTAGCTCAGAGCAGCAGATCAAGACTGAAACATGTGCTAGGCCTGGCCAAGTTTGTGGGCCTCAACCACCGCAATGGTGTGGCTATTCCTTCCTAGATCTTAGACAGTGGTATCTTGTCCAACCCCTTCCGAAAATTCTAATCCAGCTGTGGGAAGAATGGGAGAAAAACAAATGGACCAAGGTTTGGAGAGATTGCCAGAAAGGAAGAAGAAGAAAGACTTTCACTTTGACATCATGCTCAAATAATTGCTACTGAGAAGGAAATACACATCTCTGAAGCATATGAGAAGATACTCAACTAAGCTCATAATTAGGGAAATGCAAATTAAAACTGCCTTGAGATAGTGTTGCCACCTGTCAGATTGGCAAGACTCAAAAAAGCTTGATAACAGTGTGTTGGTGAGGGAGGGAGCGTGAGGTCGTGTCACACTCCGCACTGGGAGTATAAATGGATACATTCTTTACGGAAGGCAATTTAGCAATATCTGTCAGAACTGTCTGTCCTCTGACCTAGTAATTCCACCACTAGGAATTTATCCTACCAAGACCTTGCACATGGCGTGAAATGGAATGTGTGCCAATAAGAGCTAATCCTTGCTGACCAGGTACCAGGCATAGTTCTAAATGTTTCACTTGAGTGAACACATGTAATCAACACAATGGGTCCAGATAGGTGCTACACATCCTCCTATTTCTGAGCTCCCATGACAGCCATATTTGTGATAATGAGAGATTATTATAAGGTACTAAATGTCCATCCACAGGGGAATGGTTAAACAAACCGTGGTCTATCCATAAAATGGGATGATCAAATAAAGAGCAATCTCTTAAGACAGAGTTCTGAGTCAAAAAGGAAAGATGTGGAATTCTACTTATGTGGAATAGGCTAAAACATATGTCTTCTTGAAAAAAACATGCTCGTGTGTGTGTGTATGTGTGTGTGTTTAAATTCTACAAAGCATTTCTGGGAAGTTGTAAAGGAGGCTGGCAACAGTGGTGGCCTGTGTGGGTAACTCTGGGATTGGGGATCCGGCACAAGAGTAGGAGGTCTGTCACCACTTTCCTTTTGGTATAATTCTCAAAATGAACTTTAATGTTGGATAATTTTAGACTTATGGCAGAGTCGCAAAGATAGTACAGAAAGGCTTGTATACCCACCACGGGATTTCAGTTTCCCTTAATACATCTTGCACTGCCGTAGTATATTTGTCAAAGCTCAGACGACCACGCTGACACATTACTAGGGACTAACCTCCATTTAGTTCATATTTGGATATCATCAAATTAAAGATAAATAAAATGAAAAATAAACCTCTTAGAAGCCTCACATAGAAAAAGGATAAGAAATTTTGCCAAAGCCAAAAAAGGACCTCACCTCCTGACCTCTTACCCCTGGAAGGTGGGTGAAGTGGGGGGCATATGTTCTCTCATTCCTTCTAGTCTGCAGGCCATGCCTTCTCCAAAAAGCCTTCCCACTTGAAACTCATTGCTCTCTGTCCTGGTCCCTGGGGATACTACATGAATCTCTCTTACATGGCACTTATCACCAGCAGCCTTCTTTCATAGTTATTTATGCATGTGTCTGTCTCCCCAAGGAAAGCATGAGCTTCCAGAGGAGGGGACAGGGTCTATGTGTCCTCTGCTTCCCCTCCCCAGTATCTGATAGGATGCTTTGACTCATACACATTTGCTGAATTGACATCTTAGCTCCTGATGTCGGAAGAAGAGGAGAGATACATTTAGGCAATGAAAAGGGAGTAACCAGTACTTATGGCTATAGGCTGGTCACCCATGGCTAATAATGAAAACAAATGGTAATAATAATTATAATGATAATTATAATAAGAGCAGCTTTTATGGCTGAGTAATTCAAACTTATTTTTGAGATCACAGATGATCTCATTTAATCATAATAATATTTCTATGAAGTAGGTATCATTATGATACCCATTTTATACATGAGAAAAACCAAGACTCAAGGAGATGGAGTGACCTACCCAGGGTCCAGAGTGCCGCTAGGATTCACACTCAGGATATTCGGACACTACACCATACTGAAGTCCTCACTCTCTACATTTTACCAATGAGATGGAGAAACCTGTCCAAGGCCACCCAGCTAGTAAGAGGCAAAGCTGAAATTTGAACCTGGGTCTGACTGACTCCAGTCTTGACCACACTGTTCCCAAAGACCCATCCCAGAGCCCTGAGGTTTGGCCATGGGACAGGCACCTGGGACTTCGGCATGGGGCAGGGCCCTGCAGTCCCCCAGCCTCAGTCTCTGATGGCCCTGCCCAGCCCTGCTCACCTGGCACATAAGGATCAGAGGCTCCCGGAACTCGGCCTGGCAGATGGCACAGATATCGCCGGCTTCTGTGCACTGCTGCCCAGTGGCCCGGACCCCGTAATTCTGTTTGAGGGAGGAGGAGACATAAACATAGCTCTGGACTCTCACTGGAGTGATACCCTCAGAACCACCGCAAGATCTGCTTCTTGCTCCTGTTTCCTGTGACTTCCGCAGGGACTGTCTGAAGCCAACTCACCTGAGAGGTGCAGAGAAGCTTCAGGGCTTTCCTAACTCCACCCACACGGCCACAGATGTCAAATGACTGAAAGGAGAGGGAGGAGATGGCTGAAAAAGTATCCAAAGGTTGTTCAGGATCTCTCTCCTGAACACCTGCCACGGACCCCTCATCTCTGACCCAGAACATTGTCAGGCACTTCTTCCCACTTGAAACTCCCTCATTCCCACCATTTTGCTTGGCATTTGTGTTGCTGCCTTCTATCAGCAGTCTCTCCTGCTACCTGGACCAGGACAGCAAATATATGGCATGTATACTGAATCTGCCCCCTTCCAAGCCCAGAACAGGCATTGCTAATCAATCACAGCACTAGCACTCTTCTTCTGAGCCCAGCCAGGGCCTGATAATCCTCCACTCTAGCCAGTCACTGCCAGTCGGTCAGAATCAGCAGGCCAGGTAAGCCCCAAAGGCTGATGCTGTGTGGATTGCCTGGCTAGTCCTGTTGGCAGAAGGAAAGGGCAGAACACATGCGTTTCCCCGGGAGTCTCTAAAACCAGTAATAGAGAAGGAAAAAGAAAGAGGAGGATGTATTTATTGTTAAAGGGAATGAAGCTGATGTGTACTAATGCTGAAAAGACAAGCACTGCATAGTGATTCGCAGAGTGGGCAGTGTGCAATTTAAAGAGGAACAGAAAACAAATTCAGTGGCAGTGTGGTCTGTGGTCTGCGGGCTAAGGGCTCCAGGCTTTGGAGGCAGACTGCCTGGGTTTGACGCCCATTCTGCCATCTCTAGCTGAGTGACCCTGGGCAAGCTGCTTCTCTCTGAACCTCAATTTCTGGTATTATATAATACAAAAGCAATAATGGTGTGTCTCTGGAAGGGCGGTTGAGAAACAGCATATATGATGAGCTTTATGGGCAATAAATTAGAATGGATTTAACCATGAAAAGGAATGAGGTACTGACCCATTGCTACAATGTGGATGAGCCTCAGAAACATAAAGGGAGTGAAAGAAGCCAGTCACAAAAGGCCACAGAGCTGCATGAGCCCACTGATATGAGACGTGCAGAACAGGTAAACCAAGAGACAGGACGCAGACTAGTGGTTGTCAGGGGCTGGGGGTGGGGAGGGTGGAGGACTCAGGCTTGACTGCTTAATGGGCACAGGGTTTCTTTTTGGGTTGATGAAAAATGCCTTGAAGACAGAGGTGGTGGTGGCATGACACTGTGAATCTGCTAAACGCCACTGAATGGTTCACTCTAAGATGCGTAGCGGTTAATGTGTTGCACGAATTTTATCTCAATTAAGAAAAAAGAGATCAGGGTGTTATTCCAGGCTCCCCACTTGCCCCACAGGCCCGGCTAGTGAATGGGTCTTGCGTAGGCCAGCCCTTCAGGCCCAGGTCCCCCTTACCTTGCAGAGGCTGTAGAGGACGATCAGGACCCCACCCAGGAAGTAGCTGTTGGAGGAGTCATCGCCCATGATGTATTTATACCACAGCTGGATGGGGACAAGTGATCGGAACAGTTGGCTCAACTCCTCGATGACCAGATAGAACTTTCCCTGCAGCCACATAGAAAGCATCAATTATTATTAGCAGTAAAGACCCAAAGGACAAGCCGGGGGGCCCCCAGCCCAGGCAGTAATGACATTCCAGGTCACAGGCAGGCCATTAATCAGCTTTGGAAAGCACTCAGGCTCCCTCCTAATGGGCCTCGATATGGCCAGGGAGACATGGCCCCTGCCTGCTGCCTTCACCCACTGCCCACCAGCCCCAAAGGTGAAAGCTCCAAGGATCGTATTTCAGGGAGGGAGAAACTAGACACCTTTGGTACAGGACTGGAGTGTGGGTCACTCCCTGGTGCCTACTGTGGCTTTGAGGGCTCAAAGCCAGATGTGGGGGCACAGGCGCTGGCCCCGCATATAGATCGCCCTTGTCTCTAGAGGGCTGACCCAGGCATCCCAGGTGACTGCCTTCGGGACATGGGGACCGCAGGATGCAGGCAAGGGTAGGCCAAGAGGTGGAGGCAGGGAGATATGTGTTCTTCTTCCCAGCTACCCCACCTCCTGTCTCCAAGGAGGCAGGATAATATCTGGTAGAAGAACCTGGACTCAGGAACTCTGACTGGCCTGGGTTTGAATCTTATCTTGCTGTGTGTTGTGAGCCTCAGTTTCCTCATCTACAGAATGGGAATCACACTTCCTACCTTACAGGGTTGCTGTGAAGATTAAGAGGTAAACAGGAAAAGCATCTAGCATTGTGCCCAGCATGGAGCAATGCTCAACAAATTCTATTTCCTTTCCTCTGCCCTTGGACAAGTCCCTCAAGCTTTCTGTGGCCCTGTGGTATAAAATGGAGATGAAAATAACCCCACCCTGTCATGTCTAATAAATGTAACCACATGCCTACTTGTGACCCAGTGACTCTACTCCTGTGTACCCAAGAGAAATGAAAACATGTCTATTTGTATGCAAATGTTCACAGCAGTTTTATACATAATATCCCCAAACTGGGAACAGCCCAAATGTCGGTCAATGGGAGACTGGATAAACAAACTGTGGTACAGTTACACAACAGGACACTACTCAACACTAAAAATGTGACTAATGTGCAAAACATGGATGACCCCACAGACATTATGTCCAATCAGAGGAGACACTTATAAAAGAGCATATAATGTATAATTATGATTTAGATGAAGACCTAGAATAGGTAACACTAACCTATTAGTGATAGAAATCAGATCAGTGGTTGCCAGGGGTGGACGTGCTACAAGGGGTATCAAGGAATTTGGGGGCGTGATAGAAGTATTTTATATTGCGGTTGGGATGGTGGTCACATGGGTATACATTTACCAAAACTCATTGAAATATATGCTTCAAACCTGTGCATTTCACTGTATTTAAATTATACCTCAATAAAGCTGATTACGACAAATAAACAAATATAGAAACAAGTGAAAAACCCTCCCCCAGGCACGTATAGTCTCAAAAAGGTGAATAGTATTTGGTCCTGCAATTCTGTGCGTAGATATTTACCCTAACAAAATAATCAGGGATGTGTGCTAAGATGTGCCCATTTTAGGTCACTGCAGCATTCTTTGTAACAGTACAAACAGAAACAAGTAACAAATTACGTGTACAAAAAGAAGGGATGATTATGGTAGAGTCTAAAATGGAAAATCATATAGCCATTAAAATATTATCATGAAAAGTAGAGACTTTAGAGTGAAGAAACCCAGCATAAACCATGTTAACCAAGTGATCAAGGTCAATACACACTTCCACTTCAGTAAGTCACACTGACAGCCTGAACCCCCCTGTTGTGCCCTGGACAGGACCCAGGATCATTTCTGTGGTATTCTGGTCGAAAACGCATAACCTCAGTTGAATCATGAGAAAACAAGAAACGAATCCAAACTGGAAGACATTCTACAAAATAACTGGCCAGCACTCTTCAAAAGCGTCAAGATCACAAAAGACAAAAGAAAAAAAAACAAGGAATTGTCAGATTGGAGAGGATTAAGGAGACTGACAAATAAATGCAATATGGGATCTTGGACTTGATCCTAGACTAGAAAAGTTTCCGGGACAACTGGCAAAATCTGCTAAGGTCTGTAGTTTAGTTAATAATAACTGTATTGACTTTAATTTCCTGGCTTTGCTAATTGTGCTGTGGTCATATTAGATGTTAATGTTAGGGGAATCTGGGTGAAGGGTATATGGGAGCTTTCTGTACTATTTTTGCAACTTTTTTAGTCTAAAATTGTTTCAAAATAAAAAGTTAAAAGAGAAATCATCCTGGCAAAGAATATCTATTGACTCAGGGAAATGCTCATATGACAGTTCCAAGTGGAAAAGATACCGAATGCAGAAACACTCATTTTCTTTGTGTTTTTGCCTTTTCCAACTTTTTTGTACTGAGAATGTGATATATTTAAATTAGAGGGGGAAAAGTGTAATGAAAACATGTTGTGTATCCATCAGTGGATGATGTACGGGATGCGGATAGAGATTTTATACCCGTCTTGTGCTATTCCATTTTGATAGGCTGAGTACAAATCACTTGGAAGGGGAACCCTTGCAGCAGATGTGCCTACATTTGCTAAGGACCAAGAAGGGTGATCCAGTCATCCCCTCACCCCAATGCCTGACCTTTGTGACTCCCTGTGTGAGGTCATCGTTTTCCATGGGGCCCTCTACCAGCACCCCCAGGACTCCCACCAGTCTCTGCCTCCTGGAAATATCCTCTGGAAAGAAATACTGGTGTCCCTCTGGAGCCTGTGGGTAAGTGAGCTGTCTGGGGAGCTGGGATGTTGGAAATGGCCTCCATGTTCATTTTACATGCCAGTGGTGGGATGGTACATAGAGCAACGGTGTAGCAGCTCAGTGGACAGGTAGGGCTGCCCAGCTCCGTCCACGTCCTGGCAGCAGGCCCCAGGCTCTGCAGAACACCGTTTGTGAGCTTTGTTTTCCTGAAACATCCAACTTCAACTACCCTCTTCTTCCCTTACTGTGCTCAATTGCTCTCACTCAGGGTCTCTAAACTATTTCATATTCCATGTCATTCTGGACCAAAAGCCCAGTTTCTCCCAACTTTCAACCTTAACTTGCTTTTGTCACTCCTTGAATTCAGAGAACTCTCCTTTCCTTTCTTCCTTCTTGCCCTCTTTCCCTCCCTTCCTTCCATTACTGGACACCCACTATGTACCAGACACCCATATGTACTGGACGCCCATATGTCCCCTCCTGATGAGGAAGACAGATACTAGGCAGATTACTCCAATACGGTGGGGCAGAACTCTGCTAGAGGGGAGCACAAGGGGGCCTCAGAATTGAGGCAAGGGGTGGGAGTTGGGGGAGGGGAGGTAAGTCTTCTAAGAGAAAGTATATGAATTAATCTTAAAAGCCTTGTTACCCAAAGTGGGGTCTCTGGACCAACAGTGTCAGCATCACCTGGGAGCTTATTAGCAATGCAGAATCTCAGGCCTCACCCAGACCTGCTGCATCAGAATCTGCAGTTTAATAAGGTTCCCAAGTGATCTGTATGCACATTCAAGTTTGAGAAGCACTATCTTAATGGATAAGTAGGAGGCATGATGGTGAAGGAAATGTGGGAAGGATGAGGGGGGAAGGTGTTCCAGAAGCCCAGAGGTGTGGAAAGGATGGTCAATGGCCCCATACCATCTTGGTGGTGGCCTCCTGCTCTGTCCACCTGGCCTCCAGGGGCTGGGGACATGACCACCTCATAAAAGGTCCTATGCCCCTGTAATCCTGGGAACTCCTGCATGCTGGCATCTGGCTGACTCTGGGGACAGACCCCGCTGTCCCCTTTCAGGCTAATCTTGCACAACCAGACTGGCTTGGTGGTTAATTATGCATCCTCAGGAACCGGCCGGCCTGGTTCAGACCCTGTCACCTCCTACCTCAGTATTGCTGCTTTTATTTGGCCTTGATCACTGACCTTGGATCCCCAGTTTCCAGGCTCCACCAGCTGTGGATTGGTCCTCTAGTCTAGACCCTAAGCTTCCCCCTTGCCTACTGAGAGGGTCTAGCCCTTTTGCTGCAAAAGGCTAGATAGTGAAAACTTTGGCTTTGCAAGTCATACAGTCTCTGTCACAACCATTCCCCTCAGCTTTTGCAGCACAAATCAGCCAAGGGCAATGAATGGTAAACAAACGGGCAAGGCTGCGTTTCAATAACACTTTATTTACAAAAACAGGTGTTGGAACATATTTGATTTGTGGCCGGTGGTTTGCCGACCCGGGTGTACGTCAGAACCTAGGTAAGTCAAGACATGATGGAGACTCCAAATACATCCTTACAATTTCAGAGCAGGCTCAGGGACCAGCTTCTTGGCCCTTTTGATAGTAACCTCACCTTGTAGACCAAGCTCTTCCTCTGCAGATGGAATACTGGTCCCCAACTCTTTGCCGAGCTAGCCCCTGTTCATCTTCTAGGTCTCAGCTAGAAGTGTCTATGAAATGACTTCCCCAACTCCTTAAAGTAGGTGCTCCTGTTATACCCTCTAAACTACCCTTTCAGAGCACTTCCGACAATATTTTAAAAATAGAGTGTCTGTCTCTCCCACTCAACCCTGAGCCCCATAGCATGAAAATCATTTGGCTCCAGGTTGTATCCCTAGCATCTAGCAGATAGTAGATGCTCATTTAATAATGGGGGCTCTCTGAAGCTAACGGTTCCACCCTCATTACTCATGCTAACTTCTAGAGTTTGCTGATGGAGAAGAATTGAAACATCCAAGAGAAAACTTCCCTTTGTAAGCAAGCACCGAAGTCACAGGAAATAAAATAAAGGAATTTGTGCCTTTGTGGCACCATGCTAAAGGTAGCAATTAGCTGCCAGTGGGTGGGCCACTTGGAGAAGGAGATAAAAACACCGGGGAAAACTGGGCATATCCCAGGGAAACCATCTCTCTCTAATTAAGCAGTTTTATAATTCCACGTTTCTTAACTGTTATTTCTGACGACCACCAAATGGGATGTATGGTTTCTCTGGGGAGTCAGAGAACAAGGGGAAGTGATTAGCTTATGAGCCGTCTG